GTAGGGAATGAGGGAGATGAAAGCTGGCCAGATGCTCTTCTCAGCAAGCATTAGAAACCTGACAGAACTGCAGGCAGTTGAGAGATGCTTTACTCCTCCTCTGAATTCAGAAATAAGAAAAGGGGGATGTGTATGTGTGCCCAGAGCAGCTCTAGGGCCTCGACAGAAGCAACAGGCACTACCTCCTAACCCAAGGGGACTCGTGGCCATAGTGGAAGGGCGTTTATTTGCAGGAGTTGCATGATTCAGGCAATTCCTGCTCCTTGAAATGATGTTTATTTTCATGTTAAACCAGCCAAGGACTGTAGGTTGTCATTGCTCCTGACTCCTAATAATGTGAGGATTGAAGGAAATTTACTTTTAGATGTTTATCCCTTCCTCATTTCATACCTACATTCTTTACTGGAAGGAAATCTCTCTGCCTCACATGTTGTTAGGGTGAGATTCATCTTGTTTAAAATTAAGCATTTTTGTTTGAGCTACTTGCCTAGACCAATGGAGAGAAAATAAAGTTTATAAAATGTGAACTGTCTGACCAGTTTTGGACACTGACTTTAGCATGAGGTTATGGTGCACATTGTGTTTTCTGCATTGTGTCCATCTCAAATTGACATGAAATGCATCTCACCCTTGGTACTGATTTATGGAGCCTTTCCCAAAAGGCCCCCAGCAAAACTAGAGAAGTTTTACCAGAAAAATATTAGAGAAGTATGGTTATCAGGTGTAAGACAGCAGGCTGTTGTAAGACAAGGAAGAAAAGGTGGTTAATAATTAAACTGTTCCTTCCATGTGGAGTGTTCTGAAACAATAGAAATTTCCAGAAGGAGATACACACAACTCAGTAGGTTTTGCTAGACTCAGACAATTCTGTGGACTAGATGCAACATAGTACAGTTTAATTTATTTCTATAGTTCTAGTGTTTCAAGGGAGGTGTTTGAGCTGTTTGGCCTGGAGGACTGCTGCTGAATCTGGTTTTAATAGAGAAAAATCTCTGTCCTGATGATATTTGGGGTGTGGTTTTGTCAGCTAGCAAAGCTACAGTGTTTCCCCAGGAGCTCAGCTTAGACCACATCATGCCTAAAATTTATCCAGTAAGGATCTGTGTAGATGAGAAAGAAGCTTATTTTTTCTGCAGAGAGCAAGAGAGAATGGCTTTAATTTCTCAACAGCAGGAGATTTTTTTATGGGATTCCCCACATCTTTATTTAAAAGCTATTTAAAAATTGTAATTATTGTGAGGCAATAGGCATTTTTGTCAGATTGAGTTGCAGTGTGATGGGTGGTCCCAGTAAAGGCTAGATACATCCATCTATACAGATACTGTTTTCAGCTGGATTCACTGCTCTGATTTTCACTAGTGTGGCCCTGTTTTACCAAATAATTTTGAACTCTGTGGGAAGTTTTTTGTTTGGTTTTAGACTTTTTACAGTTTTTTTTTCCAATTCATAGCTTGATACAGAGATGTCAGTGTTATCTTCAGAAAAAAAAATTCATGCATGTCCTACTGCATTCTAGTTTTTGTAAAGGATTCTGTGGACCCTTTGGTGTTTTGTGCTTGCAAATTTGAAAAGGTTGGAAAATTGTCTATTAATATTAGAAATTCTTCATAGTGCTGCAGAACTATTTGGGCTAGAGAAGACCCAGAACAATACAGTGATTTCAGTAAAAATAAGTATCAGAACATTTTTCATTCTGATACTATCATGTTTGTATCTTTCTACATTACTAAAGATCTTTCTTGGTGATACAGCAAATTTGTGAAGTATTCCTGATTTATGAAAACAAATTACAAAATAAAACTCCAGACAATGTGGATGAGCTGTGTAGATCTTGGCTTGCTGAAGTATCTCAGTTTCTGTAAACCCAGACCATTAATGCTGCCTTCTCGGAGCCTTGAATGCAGCTTGAAAGTGGTTACTAAGAGTAACAAAAAACTGATAGTAGTGAGTATATTGTGGGATGGATATGCTGAGAATGTGCTGTATAATATAGCCAGGTTTTGAAGAGTAACATGGTTTGAAAAGAAGCTGTTAATTTAAATTATAATAAAATGATTTCCAGGCCATAAAAAGGTAAGGCATTTTGCCAGGGCTAACAGTGCTGAGTTCTTTAGTTTGCAGAATAAATGTGACAAGCCTTTTAATGTTGACTTTTTTTTTTTCCTGGTTTAAGACTAAATATTTAATCAGTTAGTTATAGATTACATGTTGATTTCAAATCATTTTAATTTATCTAGTGTTTTTCCCCCTCTAGGGATTCTACAAATGAAACTACTGCACATTCAGATGCTGGCAGTGAGCTTGAAGAAGGAGAAGTCAAAGGAAAAAGAAAAAGGGGCCGTCCTGGCAGGCCTCCAGTATGTGTCATTTAGTTTTGTTTTGTTATGCATCTATTTAAAATTTACTGCAAACTGTTTTTCATCTAATCATCTTGTGGTCACATAAATAGGCTTTTAATGAGTGCTATGTCAAACTTGGTGAAGGCTTGTAGGATGAAATATTTATCAGGCTGATATACAAACCATGTTTGGGTGTTTATGAAGGGACATAAAAATGAGCTCATAAAAGCTTTTTGCCCCCCACTTTCTATCCACATGAACATTACAGTTTTGTTGTTGTATTACAACAGTCTTCCAGAGACAAGAACAACCTCAGTAAGCATGACAGCTTTCTGTTTTGAAAGTTGTAATGGATTAAGTGACAAATGACATTTGAGCCATCCTTTTAGAAACTGACAATCTCTTCATGTGAATGGAAGAGTTGCAACATAGTGTTAACTAAATACCTCACAAGATCCACTAACATATCTTAAAAAAATCATGTGATTGACATAACTGTGTCCTACATCCAGACTGGGAGCTTCAGCCTGTTCCTGGCACAGCAGGTGCTGCTGGGCTGAGGTTTGCTGTTCTGTAGTAGCCTTGACCCATTACAGGCCCATGAATGGGAACTTACAGAGACAATTCTCTATAACATACAGTAATTAGGAGGCTTTGTTTTCAATATCCAGTCTCTTGGAACATACAGAAAAAGTTCTGCTTGTTGTGGTGTCCTTCATTTTAGTTCTTCAGTGTCATCAGATTCTATCACTTGAAGTACACACTGTGCAATAAGATTTTTGGTGGGAAGTTCTGCATGTTTGTTATTAATGGTTTTGATTCTCCTCAGTCTTGGTCTACGAGTACCCTTCTGTATCAGTGTGCCAGATATATAACACAAGTGGATTATTATTTTTTTTTTACCCTCAGATCTTCTCCCCTAAATCTTAGCTTAAGCATGGGCTAGTCAGTCTGTAAGAATGGACAGAACCATGTGTTCCTCTCAAGCATCTTGGCCAAGCTGGAGCAAACTCCTCATTAGTACCGGTTTTCAGTTTGCATCCCAGTTTCTGGACTTACTTCGGGAGCCAACATTTTAAATCCTGGGCTTTCCTAGGCATGTTGTTTTCCTTTTTCAAAGATTTTGAACAGTGTGTGCTGTGATGGCATTATATTCTTCATCAGATGGACTGATTTGCTCACAAGCATGGAGCTTCTTTACAGGAAGCTTAACAAAGCATGTAAAGAGAACAGGTAATCTGTTTATATAACTTGTAGACAAAGGCCAAAATCAGAAGTTATCTTCAGAATATCTCACTAGTAACTTTGAGTTTTTGCACATCTAAAAAAGAGGATGATTGCTAACCCAGAAGGTGCTCAGAATGTAGGAGTTTAAGTTAGAGCAACACTAGAGGCATTCTGCACCTACCACACACTCACTGGAAAGGGAAGGTAGATATTTAAAAAGGTGGATCTCACCCCTCTGTTTGAGCTTGTTAGTAGCTCCTGTGGGAGTATCCTGTGAAGCACTCTGCTGGTCCTGCTCTCCAGTTTCTACTGGAGTCAGTCACTCATTATGCTTAGAACAACTCCAGGCTTGTTAAGTGTACATGACTGTAAAGTGATGAATGTGCAGAGGGAATGGCCATTGCTTCATACATAAAGTGGGGGGCTGTGAGCTCACTGGTGCTGCTGAGGAGCAAGACCCCAGGCTTATCAGAGGTGATGCCATTCAAGTGTTATCTTAATGCTCCAAATCTGGTCTTAAAACTCTGGAGAAGACAATGGAGAATAGACCAAATGTTGCATCCTTTATAAAACTGTGGTTTGACAAAATTTGGAAAACTTTTCACAATTCTAGTTTCCCTCTTGACCTCTGTCCCAAAATCTCAAGAGTATTGGGACTGCAAGAGGTTCAGAGAGGAGAAACAGTGATGGTCAGTTATGGAATCTTGCTGGAAGGGACCTTAGGAGGTCTCATTACAACCTCCTCCTCAGGAGCAGGATCAAGTGCTTTGGGATCAGATCACATTGCTCAGGGCTTGTCCAGTCTGGAAAACAACCAAGGCTAGAGCCTGCACAGCCTCTCTTGGCAACCTGTGTCCTTTTATTTAACAAAATTTTTCTGTGTTCTGGGCATTCAGAACCTCTCTTGCTTCAGTTCATGATGAGTGTCAGTTGTCCTCCCACTAGATCACTGCAAAAAGCCTCCCAGGGGACGTGTTCCCATCACCCCAGCTGTGTTGGCAGCCCTATGCTGGACCTGTTCTAGTTGCGCAGCACCTCCCTGGCATTGAGAGGGCCAAAACTTGAGGAGTAGCCATTACCCACCGTGCTCTGAGCCCCACTCAACCACTTGTCCACCCATCCACCTGTGCAGATCACAGCTTCTTGGAGACAAGAATGCTGTGGGAGACTGAAAACCTTGCTGGCATCTATTGCTCTCCCCTCATCCACAGATTTCAGTCATTTTGCTACATTTTAGGGTGACTTGACAAAATATGTATGTTTGGATCCACAATCAAATCCTGCCACAGCAACAGAAAGGTATAAATAAAGTTCAAAAACAAGTGACAATAGGAGTAATGCAAATATCTTTAAAAGTCTCCTCTAGCAATTAATAACATCATTTGATATTAAAAGTCATGGGCTGAGTAACCGAGGTGTTGACTTTGCAAACATTCTTTCATTTCCCTTCCTTCTCCGCACTGCTTACCTGACCATGTTGTTAACCCATCTAGTTTACGCAGATGAATTATCCTTACAGGAGGTGCAGCTCTGACACTTCTCCCCCATTCTTCCACCCCCTAACTTTATTTTTATACCACCTACCTTTACTCTCAGATGTAAAACAGATTAGAATATGTAGTTAAATTCAGACCTGTTTTGCTTAACTGATACTTAGTTTTGATGTTTTTAATTTCTGAAGCTTTTCTGCCCAAAGGCTTTTGCTGGTTCTTGTTCATTTGTTTTTGTTTTGTTGGTTTTGTTTGTTTGTTTGCTTTTCCTAACTAAAATATGGTCTAATAAGATTTGATTCCTGCAGCTACTGGTTTGCTTATGTCCTTAGGCCATCACAGCCATAGTGACACATCTGCCATAAACATATTGTCCTCTTTTGAAAGAGTGTTCACCCTTCTGTGCTGTTCTGTCCAACTGTATGATTCTGTTGCAGAGCTGCTGATGTGCTCTATCAAATCTATGTATGGCTTTGTTTGAAATAGTTTCCTGCTGCAGTGTTACAGAATGGACTTGACCTTCTGTCAGAAAGTTAAACTACTACTAGAGGATTCTCCAAACTTTTGCAAAGAGAGACATTCCTCTTTGCAGATTCTAGATTCTTGTAAGGAGATGGTCCTTGTTAGAAAATTTACCATTTGGAGCAAGTACCTCTTCAGTTCATAGTGAAGCTTCCTGTTTTGAGGAGCCTTCACTTCCTGAAAACTCAGCCTTCCAAGTTGCCACTCCACTCCTGTAAGAGACTTTCCTAATGAGTACTTGACTGAGAAACTAGACAGTCAGCTTGCAAAGAGATTGAGTGCATTGGTCCTTCAGAAGAACCCTCAGGATCTAGTCTGATTGTTTTGAATTCACTGACCCTTGCAGTGGATTTATCAGGAGTTCCACCATATCCTGTTTGAGCACAGACATTGGGTGGAGCTGGCCTCTCCCTTGGCCTCCCCTTGCCTGTGTCCTCTTCTAAACTGAGTGAATCAGATGCCTGTGAAGTGATTGGCCAAGAGGTGGATCTGTCCAGTCGGTGTATTGTGGTGCATGTATTGATGTGATACTGTACATGAGCATACCAGACCATCTGAGTGGATAGTCAGTTAATTGTGTGGTATTATTAAAGGAGGGACCTAAAGCAGTCCTCTGGTTGAAGTTGCTGAGCAACACTGGCCAAAAAAGCTTTTTCTGCCTGTTGTGTTATTAGAATACCTGGGGATGAACATGCTCTTCTGGTCTAGGTAGGGGATTTGAAAGCCCAAGGGCCTATCATGCAATGCAGCTTTTACATCAGTGATCTTGGGCTCCTGTCAGTGATTTATCCTTTTTTGTCTCTTTTCTTGAGTCAACGTGCTCTCTGCAGCATTGTTGACATGCTTTATTTTAACCTGCCTGGCCTTCCGTTCCCAGGAGCTCAGAGCAGCTTGGCTTAAACCTCAGCAGTTAGAGGCTGAGGGAGTGAGACACCCCTGGCTATAGTTGAAGTAGGAGCAGACAGATTAGCCTCTGACTCAGAAGGACAAGATGATACATCAGTCTTACTGTTCCAGAGGTGGCAATCCTGAGCTCTCTGCTGGGGTCTCCCTTATCCCACGCTCAGGGCCACAGTGTGCCTATCTCCAGCTCTTCAGATTATTCTATGAAGACAAGGTAGAAAAAGACACTCTGGACCTCTTGTCCCCAGTGCAGACTGACCAGTTTTGTTTTAGGTCCTTTTGCATGTTTTGGTATGGAGGAGGCAGACCACAAAACCTCATCTGTGTGAAGTGTTAGCTTTGCAGCAGACTCTTATTTAGTCTTTTAGCATGGATGTTAGACCCTGCAGGGGAATGAGTTTTCCTTCTAGTTCCAAATCATAATCCTGATTTAACAGTAGGAAGAAATCCTCTTGGAAGAACTTCTGTTTGTAGTAGTCAAGGTTTGTTGTTGGTGACAGCCATCAGTGTCCTGTTTCATCTGGCTTGCCTGATATTTTAGGTCTGTCCCTTGAAACTGAAGTGCATAGATCTGTCTGTAGTTCTGTGAAAATGCACTGCACATCCAGCCAGCATGTGGAGACTTCTCTATCCCACCTCCTGTAGTTTCCTGTAGGAGAGATCATTATGGTGTTACAAGTTTTCCTTTTAAGCTTTTGATTCTTCATTTTCCTGTGGAAGTAGCCTTTTGTTTTGGTTTGGGTTTTTTTGGTACCAATTGCATCAGCTGGAAAATCTGAATGATTCAAGCATTTATAGCAGGTTCTCTTGATTCTTTGAGATGGCTTTAGAACTTTTTAAAAACCAGCCTCCTCCTCTCCCCAGCACTGCCTCTGATTTTTTTGTTGTTCTGAATGACACATAATGTGTACACACTGCCTTGTTTTGCAGGATGAAGCTTTTTCACAGGGAGCACCTTGTTCGTTTCCATGATGAAAAAAGTGCAAAGGACTGACTGTTGGGATCCAAGAGCTGCTCCCTAGATAACCCTGAGGAGGGTACAGGGCACAGTGACCTGGTTCACTCGGGGCTTGTTCAGAAGAGCTCAGATGTCACTTCTTAATTCAAGGTTTTGATGCAGAGGCCTCTCAAGAGGGTGATGCCTTTGAGAGGCAGGTTCTTCAGTCTTACTCAAGTGTAAGGTTTAAAAGCTTCTTCCAGCTATCCTGAGAAATGAGATATTGCTTTGAATTACTTACAGAATGAATGCACATAGAGAGCATCATTTAAGCGGGGAAGGTGAGGTGGAGTTACTGACCTGTAACGCTTTTACTGTCGTTCTTTCTTCATTAAGTACATCAGATCAACTCGGGGCCTGTTAATGGAAAATGTCAGGCCACTTTCATGGTTGTTTTTCCTTTTTGGGGTAGTGTGTGAATTAACTTTCACTGTATTACTTGATTTTACAAAGGTGTGTTACTTTTTTTTTAACAATTACGTTAAAGACGTGAAACAAAGTATTTTCTAGCTAATGTATAAATCCTCAGTTTTAGTTGTTATCTGTTGAACCTACTACACAGTTCTAAGAAATTATTAGTAGCTTCTGTTTTCATTTAGCAGTTCAGTCCATTTTGACACCACCACTGGCCTGACTGTCTCTCCTGGGCCTCAGAGGGAAATCACAGGCTCACAGCTCCAAGCAGCACCTTCCTTGGTGTGTGATTTAAAAGCCTCAAGTTCTCTTACCTCCTTGTGCTTCTTTATCCCTACCTCTGGTGGTCCTAATTCACCTCCATGTCAGCTCTGCCATTACAGCAGATGCTTGGATTATGGAAATAGTTACAAAGATTTGTGAGTACATTTAGATACAATATTACTAACTAGCTTGCCTTTTCCATTACTTTTCTGAGATCCCTCTTGTGAATGGAAGAAAAGTCAGTTTTGAGTCTGGGAAACAATCAGTTCATGTCCAGCTCAGGATTCTGACAGACTGACACTTAAGGAACAAAACAAACCCATGCAGGACTGCCAAATTAAAGAGGCAGAAGCAGCCAGTTTCTGTCTGAAAGGCTGTAAAGGGGCAGGCAGTAACCACAGTTGTTGATCGTCTTTCCTGTATCTTGATGACCGTGTGGTGGATTCTCACAAGGGTAGGCTTGCTACAAATTCACTCTATTTGATCTTATGAACCATCACCCGTCAGTGATAGTCTGACAGGTTTACTGGAGCCACACTCATCCTTGGGCTGTTTCTGTGTGAAAGCTCTTTGTGGCATTAGAGTATGGTCTTATTTGTGTTGAGCTGAAGGATCACCCTTTCCTGTGGGCGCAGGTGTCTCTTTAGGGATGCGGGTCTATCTCTAGCATCCGCAAAAAATAATTCTTAGATTTGTAGTATGACTTCTTAATTCCACTTCCAAGAGCACCCTACCTCTGCAGATATTCCATGGATCTTCTCTGTCATGGAGTCCTCTCATCTTTCTATGGGTGTGCCAGTCCAGGTTTTTCTTCACTTGCTTCAGTGGTGTTGGATGTCTCTATCCTGGGATAGGGTTACCTGTTCAAATTTGTACTCAGAGGTAGACCTGTCTCAGTTCTGTGAAGACCTGCAAATGTTCTTTCTGTCAATTCAAGGGCAGTATATACAAGTAATGTGTGACAGCAGCTTTGTAATATAGTATGTTAACGTTAGAGATGGTGCAAGCTCCTGATTCCTGTGCTTTGTGGTTGCAAAACTTTATAATTTGAGTTAAGGCAGCTTCTTGGAGGCTGGAGGATCTAGCTATGACTTGCTTTCATATTTGCACTTCAGAGTGGGATTGAGCTTGGACTTCTGCGTCAGATGCCTACTAGGTGGAAGTGCTCTGAAATGGAAGTCTGGTGGACACCCTTCCTCTAGTGCCTCTCCACCTTCAGGATAATACTAATCCCTATCTAACTAAAAGTTTTGGTTATGGGTTTTTCTTCAGTTTCTCAGTGTAGGATCTTTTGTCTGCTTGTTTTGTCTCTTGAGACAGGGTTCAGTACAGATCCTCCATCTGGATTGAGCTACCCCAGCTTGGGTGCAGAATTGGCTGTTAAGGGCAAGACTTGGTGAGAGAGATTCTCATTGTCAAAAGAAAATCTATACCAGAGAGATACTCTGTACTGAATCTGGTGTTAATTCGGGTCCAGGATATTGATCCATCTATATGGGCTTGAAGAATCTGCCTTTGTGCAGTAATTCTGTCAGAAGTTCATCTGTTAGTTGTTTCTGTACCTCTTATGAGAACCTGCTGGTGTTCTCACCCTTCTAATTCCAACTGTGATTCTTGGTCTAAGCAGCCCTTTCACCAGGATACCTGACAGCAGTGGAGTTCAGCCTGAGCCTGTACATGTCTTGGGATTGTTTCTTTGGAGCAGCTGTGCTGGTCCTCAGTACTCCTGCCAGTGCAGGTGGCTTTTCTCATTTCTGTCCAGTAACAAGGTGTCCTTGGTTGTGTGCATTTCATGTCCATCTCCTACTTGCTTTCCCTTCATTCTTGCAGTGTTGATTGTTTCCCTTTGAATTACATGTTGAGAAATACTGAGTCTAGAGGGGGCTTGTAGCTTCTGAGGAGGGCATCAGCTTCCATTCCTGTCTTCATTTCACAGTGCAGTTGAAGTGCTTGTGGCTTTACTGTTACCCAGATTTAATAAGTATGTGGATTATAAGTCTCAAAAGAGTCAATTTAGTTCTAATTCTTAATATTTCTTTTAAATTGTGAACATGTGTTCTCTGGAGATTGATAGAGCTCAAACATTTCCTGTATTGCTGGTGGGTTTCTTGCTGATAAAGACAGCTCTGCACGTCTTTAAAAATTCATTGAGGGAGAACAGAAATTCTTCTGATCATAAATGCAGATGTTATGAACAAAAATTTATGGAGATTGTACCATTAGTTTAAGCTTTCCAGGTTGCATTTGTATGCAAGTCCTTAACTGGGTATCTGCAAGAGGCAGTTGCACTCTACCTTGCTCTTTTCCTTAGCTCTCTGGCCCCACCAGTGGTGATGCCTTTTAAAGAGAGGGGAAAGCTGGACTGCAGGCCTGTCTTCCCCCAGCCCTTCTCCAGAAATGGGATCCCTTTCCTCTCCAGGAAAATTCTTCATGTGTCTGCAATTGGAAGATGCAACCAAAAATGTTGACTTCATGTTCCTTACTGCAGTAGGAACTGGCTGAGAGGATGCTTGAAGAAATGGTACCAAGAGGATAATTGCCCTAAATGTAATCTTGGAGTTGTGTGCTTGTTCTTTTCTTTAACATAATTCCTCAAATTGCTTCAGTGTTCTGTGGGGAACAGCAGCTTTTGCATTTGTCTGCCTCACAGTAGAGAGAAATGATAGAATATGGAAGGAAGATCATAGCAGGAATCTTATGTTCCCCAGGATTTTTTGTTTCATAAGATGACTTAAATTCAAAGCAGACTGTTCACTAGGTGACTTCTTAAAAGTTGGATTCATGCCATCTGATTATAACCCTGAAGAATCTAGAGAAAATTGAAATTAAATAATTTAGGTTCACAGGGAAAAGGTTTTAACTGATAAAATTTTGAAGTCAGGGGCTGTTATGATGATCTGCCACATCTGGATGTATAAATATAGTGATTGGAGTTGAAGAGCTGACTCTGCATGTGCACAGGTTCTTATAAAAGTTGTGCAAAACCAAAAATACAGAAAATTAATGTTAAGATGACAAGTGTCTTTTTAAGAACTTATTGTCTTCTAAAGATCATGAGTTGTTTTAAAAGTTTCTTTTGTGTCACAACGCAAACCCCTTATGCTGTTGTGTCTCTAATTTGCCACTGTTTACCTAGTTCTAGTCATGCTGTTGACTGTGTTGAGTGAGACTGACATGGATATTGGTGTGAACTGGTCCTCCAATGTTGGGAATTCACCACTACACACCTTGATCTGGCAGTGGCTGTTAGGTTGTTCCTCAACAACTACTAATAAATAAAAATATGTATACCTGACTGGATTAAAGCCCTGAGCATCCTGGATGAATTCAAAAGCTGACTCTGCTTTGAGCAGGAGGTCAGGCTGGAAACCTCCTGAGATCCCTTCTAGCCTGGCTTATTCTGTGATAAATTGTGGGTATGTGCATCTGGGGATGTACAGATGTGTGTGTAATGTTTATGTGTAATTTATACAGATATATCGAGTGATTTCAGGTCTAGCTATAATAAGTTTTTCTTCTGCTGGTTTTCTTTGCCCAGTCTGCCACCAAGAAACCTCGGAAGTCTCCAGCAGACAAGGGTCGTTCTGAGTCTGGAGCCAGAGGACCGAGTCGTGGAAGAGCCAATGGCCACCCTCAGCAGAATGGAGAAGGGGACCCCGTCACTTTGTTTGAGGTGGTTAAGCTGGGGAAGAGTGCTATGCAGGTACAGTAACTGATTGTGTTACCCCTTCACAGCTTAGCTGAATCTAAGCTACACTTTTGTAAACAACTGTATGTTCCAGAACCTGTGTTGGTCCAATGGACCGTGTTTGATAAGGCAAGGGTCAGCATGTGTCTTGGGTGAGCTGAGAACTCTCCTACAGGCTTCTGAAAGACAAGAGACAGATCAGAAAGTCATATATTTCGAATTCCCCCTTATTCTGATCATTACCTCCAAATTGAAAATGCCCATTGGTATTAAGCAGCATTAAATAATATCCTGTAATAAGTTTGATACGAGGAAAAAGTATACGATATTAGTGAGGGCTCCAGGGCTTTTTTGTGTGCTTCTTTCAAAAAAAAACCTGCTGACCCAAGCACTTTTGAGTACTTTGCACTGCAGCTTCCATTCTACTTGCCTCCACCAGAGCAGCAGATGCAGGATAAACTGGTAGCCCAGACAGTCTGAGGGACATGTCACGAAGGTGAATTTTTGCTGAATTCACTGAAGGTGAATTTTTAATTGTGAAATAAATACTGAAGATAGTTTTAGTGAATTATCTCTGGAAGTGTTTCTTACTCTTTTATATTTTAATCACTTTCAGAGGTCTTACAGGACGTGTTGGACCAGATGAGTCCCACCTCATGGTTGTTTTTGACTATACCTGTGTGCCTTTAGTAAGCTGCTGTGCTTCAGCTGTTCATTTTGGTACTGGAGAGAGAAACAACAGGCCCAAAGCACAGCTGGTCCCTGCAGTGCAACCCCACCAGTTGTTCTTACGGAAGGGCTGTTCAAGCAAACCTCCTCTACTTTGCGTTTCAACAAAACAGGACTCAGGCAATACCAGCTAGTTTGTTTTACCTTTGTGGTGCTAACCAGTAGGGAAACAATAAAAATTAGGAAAATGAGGGGCCAAGTTCCATTTTCAGTATTACTTTTGGTGTACTAAGTCTAATCCCAAAAATAATCCAAATGAGTAGAAGCTGTTGAAAACTTTCAGTCTCAATCTGTGGAAGACTTGTGATGTAATTTTAAAGAATAAACAGGAAGAAAATGAGAGTTTTATTTCTTTGTAGTTGCTGTATTGACACTTACTCAGGATTGACCCTTCTTTCTTAGTAGGTGAAGACAGAACAAATTTACTCCTTACAAAGCCGCAATTTCCTTGTGCCTCTTCTTCCCACATGTTTAAAGTCAGGGCTTCCAGCTTTGCTTGGTTTTCAACACTTCTTCAAATTTCATTTTTGGCAGGATTTGAGGAAACATCTGGATTCTATTTTCTGGTTTTACTGTGGTACAGAACATACAAAATGCTTTATGTAGTAGGTTTGTCTTAGAGTTACTGATACTTGCAGGAGCCAAATTAAAAGGAATGGGTGATTGCTTTGGTGTTTGGTGACTCTGTATGTGTGGAATTTACTTTGACTTCGTGGATTTCAAAAGAGATACCATCAGAAGTCAGCTGCAATTTCTGAAAAGTAATTGCCTACGTGTTTGTTTTAAGAAACCTTCAGAATTCAAATACAAGGAATTGTTTGAGAAATTCAGTATTTGTATGTGCATATATAGATGGGTGTGTATCTGTGTGTTTGTGTCTGTATACATGTGCAAGCATGTGCTTCCAGGGTGCTCAGCCTGCATATTTGAGGAGGAAGCAAACAGTACATTTTAAGCATGAGAAATGATAAAGCAACTAGTAAAGGAACAGGAAAGTTTATTTGAGGGCGTGGGATGCAAACCACCATAAATGACTTGAGTTGTATTTAGAAGAACCAGTCTGAATTTCAGGAGCAGCTTGTGCACTTCTGCAGCATTGAACATTTTACTATGGGTAAAAATATTAGAAAAAAAGGAGAGAGAAAGAGAGAGAGAAAAGAGAAAGAAAAGAGAAAGAAAACATTTTCGAAATCCGATCTAATGAGATTTTGTATATTTTTAACTTACACTTCTGGACAATAATCTCATGTGAAACCAAGGTTCTATAAATCACTTATTAGTGTCTTTATCCTTTTCGTGTTCCTTAATAGCTTAGGGATTTTGATGTAACCATTAGAAATGCCTGGGAATTCTGTTTTTCACAGTTTTGATGTAGGCTTTTGTGGCCAATTTTAGCAATTTTGTCGGTATTGCCAATTTTGTCAGGCCTATGTTTTTTCTTCAAAATTTAGTTCTTTCCCTGTAATACAAGCCTACATTTTCCTGTAGCACTCCAAAGTTTGCTTCCAGCAGTGAAAACCCAGAAAAATTCAATTAGTATATCCTGAGATTACATGAAAATTTTACTTCATGTGCTTTCATTTCTGATCTGCCTGTTCCTACTGTTTGCTCTCAAGATTTGTTTTAGTTGTTAGATTTTCCTGGGTTTAGGCTGCCAACTCATGGAAGTCTGTAGCTGAATTCAATTCTCACTTCTTTTAAGTTTATCCTTGATTTTAATTCGCATACGAGGATTAATTCACTTCTTTGCTTCAGGTTATTCTTCCAGGGAAACAAAATAGGCTAATATTTTAAATTTCAAATATATGTAACTCCAGAGCTGCTCTTTGCATATACATCTTTGTTATGACGTGCTGGTGTTGGTGTGAAGTCTCATTTGAACTCTCTAAATGTGATACCCACATGAATGTGATACCAGATAGCTGTCTCTGGTTTTTAATTGGCTGTATACGAGTTGGTTGCCTCAGGAGTTTTTCTGTGGGCAGCTCAGTGTGCAGGGTGGGGTGAGCTGCTCTTCACGTGTCCTGTGGGTACATTTGGTTAATCCTGGTAGAGCTCACAGAGCTTTTCTTGGCTCTGTGGAGTTTTTTTTCATAAGCAAACAATATTCTTTGCTTATTTGTATCTTTTTTGTGTGTGTGTTTTTTGGACATAGCTACACCTGCTCTATCCCCCACCCCAACCCCCTGTAGGCAGGAGGACTGTGTCACCATTTCTCAGATGCTGAGCTGCCCCAGTTTGCACTGGCAGCAGGGATGGGTCTCCTGCCCTTAGCCCTGGTGCACACTGGTAACTTGCACCTTCCCAGGCACTGCTGCACTGGGCTCTGACCCTGGTGTTGAGCTGGCAGGGACATACATAGCATGTGGTGAGCTCACCATTTGTTCAGGCCTCAGTTTGAACATTTCTCCCAAGTAATTTATGATCAATTAGGTGTAATGAAGTTTGTACTTCTGAGTTGGTCAAACCAAGCATAGAATGTTCTGCTTCGTATGCAGAGGGATCTGTGCCTCCCCAGAACAGCAGAGTCACCAGGAGGTGAGAGGTGCTCATTGCCAAAATATGAGCAGATCTCTGCCTTGATTACCCTGTGACATCATGTGTGTTACCAGTTACCCTCAGTTGCTGTTAGCAGGTCACTATGGATTGGATGCTGATTTTGAAAGGATATTTGACCCCTCTGCTTGTGCTCAGCTAAGAGAAGTAGACTTGGTGTCAGTTAGACATGATTCAGAGTAAACTCAGCTCCATTGCATGCCAACTACCATTTTAGCTATGTGTTCAAGGAGGCCTTGCTGGTACATTGAAATGCAGTTTGTCATCATGCCACCAGTTCTTTGTCTCCAGAAATCAGGAATATGTGGGGTTCCTCACTCTACTTGTCTGCACTCCTTGTCACGCATGGATTTGGGTCTTTGAAGTTCCCTCCGTGTTGAGTAAAGCTGTACTTGTAGCACTGCTTACCCTGTCAGGAGAAGGAGAGGGGTTTTTTGCTTCTGATGTTTCAGTTCCTCATGTTTTTGTTGTCTTTGCACCCCCTGGGCTCATGCTGGCAAGCTGGGACTCTTGTTCACACAACTCTACTGGTTAGAAAGCCTGTGTTTCAGAGCAGGAACATCATGAGACATTTTTTCTCCTCAGTTCCCTGCCTTAAAGGATTAAAAATATTTCATCAAGATTAATTAAAAATATTTCTGAAATATTAACAATATTTTTAATATTATTTTCAAGATTACACTGATTTTCAGTGTTACCCATGTGTTTGTTATAGACTGAAGTTAAAGATTAGTACATTAGTTGTGTGTCCTTTATAATTACATGGTGAAACTGTTGGAAATAATAGGAAAGAGGTAAAGGAAACACATTGACCACTTCCAGCAGTGCTCCTTTTTTGTTCATTGTGCACTAGAATCTTACTGGCATGATTTCCAATTCCTTTAATCATAATGTATCAGGTTTGGATGACATTTAGTCATCAGTGTCTATATCTGAAATTATTTTCTGATTGAAATTCCTAGTACCTCCAGTATCTTTTTTCTGCCACTTGGAGATTTGATGATGTGTACTGGAAAAGCAGATTGTCACTTTTTCCAAAGACATGATGTGTCTTTATACATCTTGTCAATATGGCACATGCTGTATCATTGCAGTAATTTTTGTATTTTCATGGCATTGGGGGCAGAATTGGACCATTGCTCAGACCATGGACTTTTACCATTCCTGTGTTAAGGCAACAGCTTCTCTTACAACTCCCATTTTTCTGCACTAATAGTCAGAATAGTTGTGTTGAACAGAAGTTTGGGCCAGCCTTAGCAAGTGGCAATCCCAAGCACATGTACCAGTTGGGTGGAGAATGGGTCAGAAACAGCCCTGAGGAGAAGGACTTGGGGATGATGGTGGATGAGAAGCTCAACATGAGCCAGCTCCATGCACTGGAGCCCAGAAACCACCTGTGTCCTGGGCTGCGTCACCAGCAGCGTGGCCAGCAGGGCAAGGGAGGGGATTTTGACCTCATGTGAGACCCCACCTGGAGAACTGTGTCCAGTTCTTCAGCCCCCAGCATAAGGACATGGATCTACTGGAGGGAGTCCAGAGGAGGCCACAAAGATGATCCAAGGGCTGGAGCAGCTCTGCTCTGAAGACAGGCTGGGAGAGTTGGGTGTTCAGCCTGGAGAAGAGAAGGCTCCAGGGAGACCT